TGCAAAAAACCATTGGCCGGGACCTGCTGACAAACATGTCCTGCATCAAATGGTGACGAGGTTCAGTAGGGAATTTCATTTATTTGCAGTGTTGTACGACCGCTCAATTGTCAGTTAAAGTAACGCAGCGCCATATTGCAAAATATTGGCTGGTTATGAAAGCGAGGTAAATCTTGTGGAGGGCAAGTGGTTATCCTACCCTCAATGGAGTCCCTAAGTTCAAACTTCTTGTGTCATTATGCTAATAATGATTGAACAGCTTCCAGATAGGTTAACATGGACACGTGTATACAGAAGTCTAACAAATACTTTCCAACAGTCAATAACCCTCTGGATCCTATGCGACATATTCCCAAAAAAGTAATGCCATATATACTAAATGTCACCATATATTACCTATAACACATCTCAGAAATCATTTTGAACAGTCCCACATTTCCTATATAATCGAGTTCCTTAGCTGCAGGAGTATCCTGGATAGATTCCATATACTATACATGGAAAACAAAGTACCGTATATCCACTATTAATCCTTATGTGAACTAAAAAGATCATATACTATATAATATTACCAATGTTACCTTTTTTTCTAGTGCTTGTAGACTACGAAGGTAGCATACAGAGGTTGAGCAGAGATCATTCCCTTTTTTCTTTTCCCTCTATAAATATCTAGTTCTTTTCTTGTCACTACCCTAATCCTGTCCCCTTCTAACCTCTCATCCTCGGTATGTGTGACATCAACTGTCCTCTTAGCCCTATGCAAAAAAAAGAAAACAGCAGCATGAAAAATAAGTGCAATCAGCTGGTGGTATGACAGAACTGGTAAAGGCAGCAAACACTAATTCCAGTGCAGCTCTGTTATCCATCAGTTATTTTTTTCTGCTTTTTTTAATACGTATTAATTAATTGCTGTAAAGTCCAAAGGGACCTAGATGTTCATACATGCAAGTAAAATGTTACAAATTATTTTGACATAATGCACCAAAATGTATTGTTTTTTGCTTACTGTGAGCTGACCTGATATGCTGTGAATCGCAGGCCTAACACATTGTTTGGCTAATCACTAGTCATTACTGTCTAGATTAGGTTGTAACATTTCTGTGTTAATGCATTCTGCTGTACTTACTACCTAACAAAAAAAATCAAGACTATATTCAGAAATATATCTGCCTATATCATTGATCAAAATCAACACAGCCTCTTTATTTATGTTTATTCAGCTCAAAGGAAGCCATTCTGGAGAGCGCACATTGTTTGGAGGTTAAGTAGTTCTTTCCCATGGCCTTTATTTATTATTACTCTGAAGAAAACCACAGTAGGAACAGATGTGTTCTGAAAGAACACCAGCTCAGCCATTATAAGTCTTTCTGTTCTATTTAAAATAATTTTGTGAGACTGATATTATGCAGTGAAGAACAGTAAAATAAGTATAATGGGTCATTTCTAAATAGGTATCCACATTGTTATTTGTGAAATATCCATACTTTTTGCCTATGCATTTCTGTGTTTTGGGATGCTAGGCAATCCAATACTTATCACTCATCACTTGCAAAAAATTTGATGGAACGAGAAAGGGCTCAAATAAACATATTCTGGACAGGGGTGTAAAACACCAGAATTAAGCAGTGAAATACCACATTGATGGAACACTTTTGGTCAGTCAATATACTGTATCTTCCTCATTTTAGAAGTCCAGAACAGATGGTTACAAAGAGGCAGTATGTACAGTATATACCGTATCTCCCTGAAGTGAGTACACCCCTCACATTTTTTTTAATACTTTATTCTATCTTTTCATATGACAACACTGAATAAATTACACTTTACTACAATGTAAAGTAGTGAGTGTACAGCTTGTATAACAGTGTAAATTTGCTGTCCCCTCAAAATAACTCAACACACAGCCAAATTGGGCCGAAAGTGTCAATATTTTGTGTGGCCACCATTATTTTCCAGCACTGCCTTAACCCTCTTGGGTATGGGGTTCACCAGAGCTTCACAGGTTGCCACTGGAGTCCTCTTCCACTCCTCCACGACGACATCACGGAGCTGGTGAATGTTAAAGACCTTGCGCTCCTCCACCTTCCGTTTGAGGATGCCCCACAGATGCGCAATAGGGTTTAGGTCTGGAGACATGCTTGGCCAGTCCATCACCTTTACCCTCAGCTTCTTTAGCAAGGCAGTGATCATCTTGGAGGTGTTATTGGGGTCGTTATCATGTTGGAATACTGCCCTGAGGCCCAGTCTCCGAAGGAAGGGGATCATGCTTTGCTTCAGTATGTCACAGTACATGTTGGCATTCATGGTTCCCTCAATGAACTGTGGCTCCTCAGTGCCGGCAGCACTCATGCAGCCCCAGACCATGACACTCCCACCACCATGCTTGACTGTAGGCAAGACACACTTGTCTTTGTACTCCTCACCTGGTTGCCGCCACACACGCTTGACTCGATCTGAACCAAATAAGTTTATCTTGGTCTCATCAGACCACAGGACTTGGTTCCAGTAATCCATGTCCTTAATCTGCTTGTCTTCAGCAAACTGTTTGCGGGCTTTCTAGTGCATCATCTTTAGAAGAGGCTTCCTTCTGGGATGACAGCCATGCAGACCAATTTGATGCAGTGTGCGGCATATAGTCTGAGCACTGACAGGCTGACCCCCCTCCCCTTCAACCTCTGCTGCAATGCTGGCAGCACTCATACGTCTATTTCCCAAAGACAACCTCTGGATATGACGCTGAACATGTGCACTCAACTACTTTGGTCGACCATGGTGAGGCCTGTTCTGAGTGGAACCTGTACTGTTAAACTAGTGTATGGTCTTGGCCACCATGCTTCAGCTCAGTTTCAGGGTTTTGGCAATCTTCTTATAGCCTAGGCCATATTTATGTAGAGCAACAATTCTTTTTCTCAGATCCTCAGAGAGTTCTTTGTCATGAGGTGCCATGTTGAACTTCCAGTGACCAGTATGAGAGAGTGAGAGATCTGCTCCCCGTTCACACCTGAGACCTTGTAACACTAATGAGTCACATGACATCGGGGAGGGAAAATGGCTAATTGGGCCCAAATTGGACATTTTCACTTAGGGGTGTACTCACTTTTGTTGCCAGCGGTTTAGACATTAATGGCTGTGTATTGAGTTATTTTGAGGGGACAACAAATTTACACTGTTATACAATCTGTACACTCACTACTTTACATTGTAGCAAAGTATCATTTCTTCAGTGTTGTCACATGAAAAGATAGAATAAAATATTTACAAAAATGTGAGGGGTGTACTCTGTGAGATTTTACACTATGAAATGCATGTGTTTGATTCAACTGTGAGTGTAAAGGGTTAACTGTAGAGACTCTCTTTCTCTGCTAGCACTATTGTCTCACTATCTACTGTAGAAAATCTTTGTAGAGGGTGAGGCTTAGTGTCATTCTCACATTTACAGTCAAAATTATTTTAACAGCTTCCCGTCATGGGTGCGCAAAATCACATATATATATACGTAATTTTGTATTTCTGGGTAGGGGGCAAATGCGCGCCGGACATGCACCCTACCCGCTCCGCCATTCATGGCCACGACTGTCAATCACCAGGCCTCTGCCGGTAATTACACGCCAGTGCCTGGTGATTTCCAAGGATCTCCGACAGGGAGGAGGACTATTTTGTTTACTAATAGTCATCCTCCCTGTCAGCTCGGGCACACTGCTGTGGATGGCAGTGCACAGCACAGCCATCCAAAGCAGTGTGATTACAGTGAAGAACACACATCACACCCCCTAGTAAAACACTCACTGCACACAGGTAACCCTTTGATCGCCCCTCATGTTAACCCTTTGATCGCCCCTCATGTTAATGTCCTCTGGCCAATGTCGGCATGTGTCTTCTGGGTTCCATTCCCTGCGATGTCAGGACGTACGGGGACGGAGCGGCGGGAAATTTAAATATGTCAAAAGGTGACGTTCACTAAATACACTAAAATCACATAGTAAAACATTACTGTATCAAAGCATTTCACATACATTTTGTCCCCAGTGCTTTGTCCTGTGCCCTGCCAGCATGTTTACAGTTCTTTCTGCCTGGAAACTGAGAAATGTCCATGGTGTCCAAAAAGCGTCCCTTTAGGTCAAAAGCAGTTTTAGACCAGCTAGAGAACAGTAGTAAATAGTAAATCAGAACTACTTGCAGAATTGAGTGATAATGATTAGTGGAGAAATTCATCATCAGACACTGAAAACGATTTTGCGACTTTGCTCAGTGATATGCGAACTTGGCGCTATATTTTTTAATTTCAGTGTTTTTGGTTTGATTATAATATTGAATTAAATGTATTATTATATTATTATTTTTATGATTATTTATTAAGTTATAATTTATGATTTCGTGTTTCAAATTTTAACATACTAGACTCTTGTTCGAACAGATTTCAGTGAGTTATTCCTAAAAATTACAGGCGTACAATAAAAAAATACATATTTCCATGCAAAAAAAGTACCGCTTTGAGCACAGAAATACTGACATAATCAGGCCGCTAGGGAGGCTACAGAGAATGAGTCACTGTTCCTATTCAGGGCAATGTGACAGGTTATCTTGCAATTTCACTTACTGATGCTCACCTTTGCCGCAATATCTTGCAACTCCATCCCTCCATAATAAATTTCAGAAATACCCACTGCTTACAGATATGAGGAAGTGTTTGAATTTCTCCCCACCTTGCCATTATGGAAAGCTTGGGCTTCAGTGCTCAATCACCAGACATGAACACAAAGCGCAGAGTGAATATCATTAACCCTATGTATGATTAGCATTGGACAGAGTCAGAACTTACACAGGAATTGCACTCACAGATATGAAAACAAATGGGGTGGAGGGCAGAACAAATGGGCAAAGAGACAGATTCCTTTTAAAGTCTCACATTGTAATTTTAGCAGTGTCTCCATATGTAACATTCTTTACATACTGTACGAGGATGTACTGTATGTGGTGCTAGATTTGTGGTATATTGTGTTTGAATGAGTGCATGTTTTGAGGGATGAAGGTACTAAGATTATAGTGTATTATATAAGATCTATAAGCCTACTGGTGTTAAAAAGCTAGAGTTAGAATTTTCAAATTTCCCGCCGTTCTGTCCCCGTACGTCCCGACGTCACATGGGACGGAACCCAGAAGACAGATGTCGGCATCCACGGGAGGACATTACAGGGGACACTGCAGGAGGGAGATTGCGGGAGTGCAGGACAAGATAAGAGAAGAACAGATCCCGGAGCAGCGCCACATGGTAAACCCGAGTGTAGCTCGGGGTTACCGCTTGTGGTACAGAAACTTTATCCCGAGCTACACCTGGGAAAACCGCCAGGGAGGTTAACATACCCCGGATGTTTACTAGATTCTTCAGATAGATTTCAGTGAGTTCTTCCTAAAAATTACAGGCCTAAATTAAAAACATTACATATTTCCATGCAAAAAATATGTACTGCTTTGAGCACATAAATACTGACATAATCAGACCGCTAGGGAGGTTAATAGCAAAATGTCAAAAATATAAACTTTTTTCTCAAAATGTTTGTTTTATAAAAAATAAAAAACGCATGTCATGGGAAATAAGGACGCAAATTTCATTTGGGTTCAGCGTTGAATGACCGCACAATTGTCAGTTAAAATAACTCAGTGCAGTAACACAAAAAATGGCCTGGTCAGGAAGGGGGGTAAATCCTCTGGAGGGCAAGCTATGGTCTGTTGCCTCAAAAATGGACCTTGCTGTGCCTGTGACATGTTAAAAAAAAAACTACTTTAGACAACCATAACTTTTGAGTAAGGCACAAAGAGGTATGCCTGGAGGCCTAGGCATGCTGCAGATCTTATAATGCTCTAATAAATTGCCTTGGCTGGATTTCTATGCACTTATTACAAAAGTCCACTTGAGTCACTAAAATGAATCTAGACCCAAAACCAAAATGAGTAATATATAGGAGTCTAACAGTGCTTAGATGTGTCATTTTCATTTTTCCCCTACACAATTACAGAGGAACTGTGTTGCAACACAACAAAAAAAAGAGAAGTTAATTGTTGGGGTTTACCTACACTTTAATGAGTCACAGACAAATAATCATCTAAAAGTTTTGGGAAGAATCACTCTTCACCAATGGGGAGGGAAGGCTATAGCTAATCCTGAAGTTTAGTCAGCTTATATAGTATTATTTAGTATCATCCCTGGTTAATCCTTGTACCCCACCAATATGCTAGTTTTCATACCTTATTTAAAACCCAGTGATGTCATCACTAGGTTTATGTGCTTCGCTATGCAATGCACACAGATCATAGCTGGTATGAACAATCCACATAATTGAAAGATCTTAAACCAATGGGCCAGGAACAATCAGACTGGGGAGGGAAGGCTTGTATAATACTGGATGTACTCTAAACAGGAAATTAAGAGGACTCTATCTACAGGTGAAACTCGAAAAATTAGAATATCGTGCAAAAGTTAATTTATTTCAGTAATGCAACTTAAAAGTTTAAACTAATATATGAGATAGACTCATTACATGCAAAGCAAGATAGTTCAAGCCATGATTTGTCATAATTGTGATGATTATGGCTTACAGCTCATGAAAACCCCAAATCCACAATCTCAGAAAATTAGAATATTACATGCAATCAATAAAACAAGGATTGTACATAGAACAATATTGGACCTCTGAAAAGTCGTACTCAGTACTTGGTTTGTGCCCCTTTTGCAGCAATTACTGCCTCAATGTGGCGTGGCATGGAAGCTATTAGCCTGTGGCACTGCTGAGGTGTTATGGAAGACCAGGATGCTTCAATAGCGGCCTTCAGCTCTTCTGCATTGTTCGGTCTCATGTCTCTCATCTTTCTCTTGGTCTCTTGGCAATGCCCCATAGATTCTCTATGGGGTTCAGGTCAGGCGAGTTTGCTGGCCAATCAAGCACAGTAATCCCACAGTCATTAAACCAGGTTTTAGTGCTTTTGGCAGTGTGGGCAGGTGCCAAGTCCTGCTGGAAATGAAGTCAGCATCCCCATAAAGCTCGTCTGTGGAAGGAAGCATGAAGTGCTCCAAAATCTCCTGGTAGACGGCTGCATTGACCCTGGACTTAATGATGCACAGTGGACCAACACCAGCAGATGACATGGCTCCCCAAATCAACGCAGACTGTGGAAACTTCACACTGGACTTCAAGCATCTTGTAGTGTGTGCCTCTCTATTCTTCCTCCATACTCTGGGTACTTGGTTTCCAAATGAGATGCAAAAGTTGCTCTCATCAGAAAAGAGGACTTTGGACCACTGAGCAACAGACCAGGTCTGTTTTTCTTTAGCCCAGGTAAGACGCTTCTGACGTTGTTTGTTGTTCAGGAGCGGCTTGACGAGAGGAATATGACATTTGAAGCCCATGTCCAGGATCAGTCTGTGTATGGTGGCTCTTGATGCACTGACTCCAGCCTCAGTCCACTCCTTGTGAAAGTCCCTAACACTTTTGAATGGACTTTTCCTGACAATCCTCTCCAGGCTGCGGTCATCCCTGCTGCTTGTGCACCTTTTTCTTCCACATAACTTTCTATTAATGTGCTTTGATACAGCACTTTGGAAACATCCAACTTCTTTTGCAATTACCTTTTGAGGCTTTCCCTCCTTATGGAGGGTGTCAATGATGGTTTTTCTGCACAACTGTCAGGTCAGCAGTCTTTCCCATGATTGTGATTCCTACTGAACCAGACTGAGAGACCATTTAAAGGCTCAGGAACCCTTTACAGGTGTTATGGCTTAATTAGCTGATTAGAGTGGGACACTTTGAGCCGAGAATATTGCACCTTTTCACAATATTCTAATTTTCTGAGATTGTGGATTTGGGGTTTTTTCATGAGCAGTAAGCCATAATCATCACAATTATGACAAATCACGGCTTGAACTATCTTGCTTTGTATGTAATGAGTCTATCTCATATATTAGTTTCACCTTTTAAGTTGCATTACTGAAATAAATGAACTTTTGCACGATATTCTAATTTTTCGAGTTTCACCTGTAACTTGTTGCAGTTACTAAACACACTGGGCATCATTTACAGAGTGGAATTTTCTTCTTTGCAGTAAAATACCTCACAGCATTTTTTGAAAGTTTTTTGACATTCACAAAAAAACACTACTAAAATACTGCATGCAGTAGCTTTTACTAATTATCACATGGAATGATGTGCTAATTTACTGCAGCTGTACAGTATTTAACACAAGTGACCTCATATCCAGCGGACTTCCAGTCCACACTTCTCAGAGCCCTGCAGAAGTGAGGGATGGCTCAGCAGAAGAGTAGCCAAACATTTTGGATCTGGTGTAGCACATGTTAAGCCTTTCAAAAGCCTCATTTGTTTTAGCATGTTTTGATACCTTTTTTAGCTATACACCTCTGCTGAATCCCTCACTGCTTGCTCCATACATTTCTTGCTTATTTGCCCAAAAATGCCCAGCGTGAATCTTCAGCCCTTCTTCCCCATTCGTTTGGACTTGTGAAGCATGCTCCAACATGTTTGCTGTGCATGTATTTGATATTTTATATATATATATATATATATATATATATATATATATACACACAGTATATGCTTATGTATTACATATTTTTTTATATTCTCTTTATTGTCAACATACTTTTCTATTTAACCATTGTAAAAGTTTTTTTGTTGTTCTTAAATGGGCTTCAGTTGTTTTCTCTGCTCGTTCCGAGGATTGTATTTTTTCCATTTCTACAATATGAAAACATGGAGCCCAAGTCACCAGCTGTTTCCTTAAAGCATCCCTACTTCAATGTACTGTAAGTATGTATTTATTATTCATACCTACAAATGCATACAGTAGTTTCAGAATGTGGTACTAACATGTTTTTTTTATTAAGTCCAATAGATACTACATCCCAAATTAAGTCAGGAACAAGACATGTTTTGGAGGTAAGTCATATGAGCTTCCTTACAATCAGAAAATGCATGTTTTGAAATGCTCTCACATGCACTATGTGACTAGTTTGCTGCAAATATGTGCCTAGTGTTTCTTTTTAGACACCCAAGAGATTCATCGCAGAAAAGAGGGGAAAAACACCTCAGAATGGATAATTCCCAAAGTAAGTGCCATACTGCATTCCAGTGAAGGTACAGTACTTAGTCCTGTCCAACCAAATATACTTCACATTTCTCCATCTATCTGTGCACAATGTTGTGAATCTATTTTAGTTGAAGGATGCATTCATCAAAAAAAATAAACACAGGAAGAATGGTATTGTTAAAACCAGCAAAGTTTATGGTAAATAATAGGTGATATATTTACATGGCAAATGTAAGGGAATTTTTCTGAAAATTAAAAGTATCTTTGTGTTTTTTATAGTGCCCCAAAGACGATATTGTCCCTGAAGCAAGCAATCCTGGAATCCACAGGTCACCCACCAAGTTTCACTCATCTGGAAGAAACAAAACCAAAGTTACTGTAAACCTCTGAGAACATTAAAGTCAAACAAGTAAACCATGTTCTTAATGTCCCGTAAATCTCTCAGCAGATTTGTCATTCACAAGTTTCCACCATCTTAGCAAGTGACAAAGAAGATGAGTCTCAAAGGCTCACTACTCAAGAGCAAAGAAACCACCGAGCAACTTGTTAGTGTGTATGACAAGTTGCTCGGTTCCCACATGCTTAAGAGTGACCAAGCTTGGGAAAAAAAAAAACAAATAAACAATGTAAACTAATAGCAAGAGTTGTAAATGCAGTGGGAGTAGCACCCCGTAGTAAAGAAAATGTGAAAAACAAATACCAAGACATCAAGAGTAACAGCAAGAAGAAAATTGCCTTGGTCAGGAAGGAAAGGTTAGTCTGATTGTGTGTACTGAAATGCGAAAACATGACTACAAATGTCTTGAATTTGTCTCAGGGAAATGTCACTTCATCTTTTTGAATGTACATTTTAGATATCCATTTTGTTTGCTTCATTGCTTATCTTTTTTCTTCTAGGCAAAAAACTGGTGGCGAATTACAGGTTTCTGTGAAGATATTGAAGAAAAAATACTGAAGCCCCTCATCCATGAAGAGACAGTTACAGGACTGGCCAAAGAATTAGATACCTTGAGCAACAAGAGAGGTAAGTGCATCATGTTTGTGACTATTCTAGCTGTGAACTATGCATGTTCAATGTTGATGCTGGGTTCTCCCTTGCAGCCATATTGTATGCTGTCAGGAGAAACTACCCCCTCCTTCAGAATACCATGCCCTTTTTGGCAACCTTTCCCTAGAGGTGACCATGGAACATCTTTGTCCATTGCTGGATTTATTAATTTGGGTGACTTTGCAAGAAGGGGGGACATGGGCTAATTTTGACTTAATCAGTAT